TATAAAGACATAATACCCTGTACCACAGTGTGGTGAAGGGTATAAAAATCCACGCCTTTATTCAGTCTTGAAAAAAATATTTAAAAAAATCCACCAACCCATAATACCCACATAAATTGGGTAGGGAATATCAAATCTCTTATATGGTTTGAGTGGCAGGCCGGTCTTTCAAAATTTACCTCTAGCCGCATATGTTTGCTGCAGTTAATGTTGCAAATATGAGGAAACTGCAACAACAACATCAACAAACTCCCGCCATTCAACATGAAAGCCAATAGACAGACAGACAAACATCATGGACAGACAAAAAATGTAACTGTGCACCCAAACACACAGCGAATGCTGTAATAGTCTCGGATGTTGAAGCCATGGAAGCGGTAATGCAAGACAACAACAATAATGGCAACAGCAACAACAACAACAACGGCAACACAAATCAGGAAAAGCATGAAAATGCCACAAGAAAAGTGAACGAACAGCTAAAGTGAGATCACTTTTTGTTGTTGTTGCTGGTGTTGGTGCTGCTGCAGTTGCTGTTACTTTTTCATGTGGCTGAACGTAACTTTTGCGCATGCTCACCTTTCTACTTTGAGACGGACTAGTTCGTCCGTCCGTCCTTCCGTCCGTCTGCAATTTGAACAAAGACTATTGCTTTCAGTTAGTTTGCTTCTTTGTTGTTGCGGTTTTTTTCGTGTGTTGCATCGATGATATTATGTAATATTCATTTCCATGCTGTTTTTGCAATGAAATGGAAAACAAAGATGAAAGGAAAACAAAAAGCACAAAATGAAAACTGGAAAAAAAGAGGAAACTACTAGATAACCGTTTTCACACAACAGCACAAAACAAAAGAGATAGAATAATGCACGATAAGTGCCACAGGCGTGGATTTTTTTCTTTCCAACTAGATATTTCAAGAGGTTAGGATTTTTATACCCTACACAACTATGCAGTCAGGGTATTATAGCTTTGTGCAGCCCCAAGAGTTTGTAGCGCCGCGAAACATTGGTCCTAGACCCACCCTTCAGTATACCGATGGTCATATCTCGTCATAGCTGAGTCGATCTAGACATGTGTGTGCGTCCGTCCGTCCGTCTGTCCATTATAATTTGTAAACACGATACTGGCCACAGTTATGGATCAATCTTCACGAAATTTTGCATGTAGGACGGGTTCTGGCCAATGAAAACCCCTACTATTTTTGGTGAAGATCGGCTAACATTTAGGGGATGAAATGGACCAAAAACTTTATTTTTGTCATTTTTTCTGGTCCCTCTAGAGGCCGTTTTTACATGGCGATCGCCATATCTCGACTAGCTGAGTCGATCTAGACATGTGTGGCCGTCCGTGCGTCTGTCCATTATAATTTGTAAACACGATACAGGCCACAGTTATGGACCAATCTTCACGAAATTTTACATGTAGAATGGGCTCTGGCCAATGAAGACCCCTATTGTTTTTGGTAAATATCGGTTAATATTTAGGGGATGAAATGGACTAAATACTTAATTTTTTGTCGGTTTTTCTGGTCGCTCTTGAGGCCGCTTTTACATGATGAAGGGGATCGGGCCAAAAATTAAGCATGCCTGTTTTCATAAAGATTGGTAAATATTTAGCGGGTCCAATGGACTCTGACTTTTATATTTGTCGATTTATATTTATATTTGTATTCGTATGAATTTACTCCTGAAGGACATAGACCCGAGGGCGGAAATATAGCGATGATCGCTTTGAAATTTTCCATGAGGTCCCAGTTATGGTCAAGGACAACGCCTATAATTCTCGGCGATGATCAGATAATAATTATACCCTTTACCACACTTTGGTACAGGGTATTATGTCTTTGTGCATATATTTGTAACAGGCAAAAGGAAACAATATAGACCCATGGTTCCTTTTGAGAATATGCATAGAATCACTTTCTGAGTCGATTTATGCATGTCCTTCCGTCCGTCTGTCCATGTTAAATTGTAAACACAGTGCAGGTCGCATTTATTATACGAATGAGATTAAATTTGGCACAGATCAGTTATTTGGCCCAGAGACGTACCCTATTGAAATTGGGAAAAATCGGTTCAGATTTAGATATAGCTACCATATATATTTTCGTCCGATTTTTCGTAAATGGTACACCAAAGAGTCAAATTAAGACCTAATGCCCCAAAATTTTGCACAACATACCGAAGTTAGGATAGACTAACGTGTGCCAAGTTTTATTGAAATCGGTTCAGAATTTGTTATAGCTCCCATATATATGTTCCTCCGATTTTTAGCAAATGGTGCACCAAAGAGTCAAATTAAGACCTAACGCCCCGAAATTTTGCACAACGTACCGAAGTTAGGATAGACTAACGTGTGCCAAGTTGTATTGAAATTGGTTCAGATTTAGATATAGCTCCCATATATATGTTCCTCCGATTTTTCGTAAATGGTACACCAAAGAGTCAAATTAAGACCTAATTACCCGAAATTTTGCACAACGTACCGAAGTTACGATAGACTAACGTGTGCCAAGTTTTATTGAAATCGGCTCAGATTTAGATATAGCTCCCATATATATGTTCGTCGGATTTTTTGCAAATGGTGCACCAAAGATTTAAAGTGTGTCCCACATGCGCAACGTATCGAAATAGGTCTGGGTTAACCGTTATATGGGGGCTACCCGCAAAAGTGGACCGATATTAATAATTTTTAGTGGAGACATTTGGTACGTGCACCGACAAAGCTCATCTTCGGACCTGAAGACAAGAGAAAACTTTATGTTAACTTTTGGCGACCTATCTCAATTCGTTTAGATGCTAGAGTGATTAAAACAGAAAGACGGACCTGCATAAATCGTCATAGAATTTTACGCTAATCAAGAATATTATTACTTTATACAAATATACCCGGTTATTGGACATTGGGTTATGTCGGTTCACATATAGACATAGATCACATGGTCCTTCAAAAATTCAAGATATGTAAGGATGTATTTCTTGAATATAGCCAAATTGGTAAAGGGTATCATATAGTCGGCCCCGTCCGACTTTACTATTTTTCTTACCGGGTTTGAGATGAATTGGATCGAAAACTTAATTTTTTGTGTTTTTTTTTCGAATCGATCTATATAATAGAAAGCCGAACATCACAACACAACCCACACTGAAGGTAATCTGGACAAATAAATAGAAGAGATGTACTGAGTATTAGTAATATTCGGAAAATATGTCAGTGTAAGGATAAGGTGCTTTTGACCTCTAATCGGGCAAGAGTGCGCAACTGCGACACGATATTGCCAATGATCGGAATAAATATCCGCAAGTATTTTTTCAAGTAATAGGCGTGGATTTTTTAAAAATAATTTTTTCGAGTATTTAAATTTTTTTTTCAATAACAGGCGTGGATTTTTTGAAAATAATTTTTTCGAGTATTTCAAATATTTTTTTCAATAACAGGCGTGGATTTTTTTAAAAATAATTTTTTCGAGTATTTCAAATATTTTTTTCAATAACAGGCGTGGATTTATTAAAAATAGTTTTTTCGAGTATCTCAATATTTTTTCAAGTATCTCAAATATTTTTTTCAAGTACCTAACTAGGCGTGGATTTTTTTAAAATATTTTTTCGAAATCTCAAATATTTTTTTCAAGTAATAGGCGTGGATTTTTTAAAAATAATTTTTTCGAGTATCTCAAATATTTTTTTCAAGTAATAGGCGTGGATTTTTTAAAAATATTTTTTCGAGTATCTCAAATATTTTTTTCAAGTAATAGGCGTGGATTTTTTAAAAATATTTTTTTCGAGTATCTCAAATATCTTTTCAAGTAATAGGCGTGGATTTTTTAAAAATAATGTTTTCGAGTATCTCAAATATTTTTTTTTTCAAGTAATAGGCGTGGATTTTTTAAAAATATTTTTTCGAGTATCTCAAATATTTTTTCAATAGGCGTGAATTTTTTAAAAATATTTTTTCGAGTATCTTAAATATTTTTTCAAGTAATAAGCGTAAATTTTTTTAAAAATATTTTTTTCGAGTATCTCAAATATTTTTTTCAAGTAATAGGCGTGGATTTTTTAAAAATATTTTTTTCGGGTATCTCAAATATTTTTTTCAAGTAATAGGCGTGGATTTTTTTTTAAATATTTTTTCGAGTATCTCAAATATTCTTTCAAGTAATAGGCGTGGATTTTTTTTAAATATTTTTTCGAGTATCTCAAATATTTTTTCAAGTAATAGGCGTGGATTTATTAAAAATAATTTTTTCGAGTATTTAAAATATTTTTTTCAATAACAGGCGTGGATTTATTAAAAATAATTTTTTCGAGTATCTCAAATATTTTTTCAAGTAATAGGCGTGGATTTTTTAAAAAATATTTTTTCGAGTATCTCAAATATTTTTTTTCAAGTAATAGGCGTGGATTTTTTAAAAAATAATTTTTTCGAGTATCTCAAATATTTTTTTCAAATAATAATTTTTTTCATGTACCTAACTAGGCGTGGATTTTTTTAAAAATATTTTTTCGAGTATCTCAAATATTTTTTTTTAAAGTAATAATTTGTTTCAAGTACCTAACTAGGCGTGGATTTTTTAAATATTTTTTTTTTCAAGTAGCTCAAATTCTTAGCCATTCTTCTCCCATTTGTATCAAATATAAATTGCTGCCTAATATATTTTTCCGGAAAAAATCATTTTCACAACAACAAGACCACAAGACCGAAGCAGCGTGGAAACAGAGTTGAATAAACTTGATTTGCGGCAACTGGACGATATCGCCAACAGTGCCACATTGTGGCAAACATTCGCGGTACATTCCACCCACTCAATTTTTTGTTGCCTGCTGTCATGTTTTGTTTTTCCTTCGTTTTTCTTTTTTTTTTGTGGCAACAACGATTTGCTGCAGCATTTTGTTACAAATGCAACTGCAACAGCAACATTCAACAACAAGGAAGTAAATTCATGTTTACAACATCAACTGTTACTGCCACAGAGTGCGGCGGCTGCATGTCAGGCAGTCAGCCTCGTTGTTATTGTTGTTGTGGTTGCTGGTGTTGCCGTTTGAGGAATTGAATGTTGGTGGTGGCATGGTTGCGGTAAATGTTGCCGAGGCAGCTGTTTCATGTTTTGTTGCATTAGTGAATGTTTTTTTTTTTTTGTGGAATTGTGTGTTGAAAGTCATAAATAACTTGAAGTATTTCATGTTTATCTTTGCCTTCCTTCTTCTATATTAGGTGTGTTGGTGTCAATGTGTGTGTGTGTTAGTTTGAGTTTTCTAATGATTGTGGTTGACTTTTTTCTATTTCCTATTGGACTTTGAAGATCTGTTTTAACTGGGAACACTTAAATATTTCCAAGAGTTAATTTTTTATTGAAAAATAAAATATTTGGAAACAATTTGGAAAGAGTGATGGATTTCTAACATTCCAAAAAAAAATGAAAAAAATTGACATCAATATTTAAAATCAGTGAGCGGAGCAGTATAGTCGGACGGGGCCGACCATATGATACCCTACACAAAAAACTAAACTTTAAACACGAAAAACTAACTTTCTGTGGATCTATATTCTGAGCTTGGGCAATATTTCGCGATATTTGAACCATCTGGACCAACTAAAGGCCGACAATTATTACTACTATTCAGTACAACCCTTCTAATTACTTGTCCAGATTCCCTTCCCTTGTATTGTGATCTTCTTATTCCCATTGGAGCCTATAGATCGACTCGAAAAAAAAACACAAAAAATTGAGCTTTCGGTCCACTTAATCACAATAAAATTATCTGATCGTCACCGAAAATTGTAGGCGATATCCTTAACCATAACTGCAACTTCATGGAACATTTTAAAGCGATCAGCGCTATATTTGCGCCCTCTAGTGTGGTAAAGGGTTACTAAATAATATCTGAATAGATAAGCACCTGTAAATATTTAAGTGTAACTCCCACATCTGAGTACATACGACCATATAATTGGTATCAATTTCAAGGTCAATCACTGCCCTTGGATATACCAACAACATTTCGGGTCTATGCCCTTCAGAGGTAAATCTATACGCTATAGAATACAAATTTTGTAATTTTTTACACAAAAGTCAGGGTCCATCTGACCCGCTAAATATTGACCGATACTTATCAAAACAAACATGCTTATTCTTTGGCCCGATTCCCTTCTCCATGTAAAAATTCGCGATGTTTGGGTCATAATTGCGGCCTCTAGAGCGACCAAGAAACCAATAAAAATTAAGTATTTGGTCCATTTTATCTACTATATATTAATCGATCTTTATCAAAAATAATAGGGGTCTTCATTGGCCAGAACCCATTCTACATGCAAAATTTCGTGAAGATTGGTACATAACTGTGGCCTGTATCGTGTTTACAAAATATAATGGACGGACGGATACGAATACGGACGGACACACATGTCTAGATCGACTCAGCTAGTCGAGATATGACGATCGGTATACTTAAAGGTGGGTCTAGGTCTGCACAAAGCTATAATAAGCTGACAACATAGATGTGTAGGGTATAAACATTTCAACATTTTCAAGGCTAACCTATGGCGTGGATTTTTATACCCCACACAACTATGTTGTCAGAGTATTATAGCTTTGTGCAGCCCGAAGAGTTTGTAACGCCGCGAAATATTGGTACTAGACCCACCTTTAAGTATAACGATCGTCATATCTCGACTAGCTGAGTCGATCTAGACATGTATGTCCGTCCGTCCGTCTGTGCATTATACTTTGTAAACACGATACAGACCACATTTATGGACCAATCTTCACGAAATTTTGCATGTAGAATGGGTTCGGCCCAATGAAGACCTCTATTGTTTTTGGTAAATATCAATTAATATTAGGGGATGAAATGGACCAAAAACTTTATTTTTGTCAGATTTTCTGGTCGCTACAGAGGTATAATTATGGCACAAACATCGCGATCGATCAATATTTAGCGGATCAAATGGACCACACTGTGGTACAGGGTATTATGTCTTTGTGCATATGTTTGTAACAGGCAAAAGGAAACGAAATAGACACATGGTTCCTTTTGAGAATATGCTTAGAATCACTTTCTGAGTCGATTTACGCATGACCGTCTGTCTGCCCGCCCGTCCGTCTGTCCGTCCATGTACAATGTATTTTTGTGAACAAAGTACAAGTCGCATTTATGATCCGATTTGGATGAAATTTGACATGGGTCACTTATTTGGCCCAAGGACGAACCCTATGGAAATTGGGAAAATCGGTTCAGATTTAGATATAGCTCCCATATATATTTTCGCCCGATTTTAGGTAAAGTCCCTATATATCCTTCGATTTGCACGAATTTTGACATAACGTACTGAATAAAGCCAAGAAAGATGTGTGCCAAATTTTGTGAAAATCGGTTCAGATTTACATATAGCTCCCATATATATTTTCGTCCGATTTAAGGTAAATGGTGCACCGAAGGCCCTATATATCCTACGATATACACGAAATTTGGCATAGTACTGAATTATGTGATGTGTGTTAACTTTGGTGAAAATCGATTCAGATTTAGATACAGCTCTAATATATATTTTCGTCCGATTTAATGTAAATGGTCCACCAAAGTCCCTATATATCTTTCGATTTGCACGAAATTTGGCACAGAGTAATGAATCTGGTCTAGAATGATGAGTGTTAAGTTTCCTGAAAATCGGTTCAGATTTAGATATAGCTCCCATATATATTTTCATCTGATTTAATGTAAATGGTCCACCAAAGTCCCTATATATCTTTCGATTTGGACGAAATTTGGCACAGCGTAATGAATTAGGTATAGAATGATGTATGTTAAGTTTCCTGAAAATCGGTTCAGATTTAGATATAGCTCCCATATATATTTTCGTCCGTTTAAGGTAAATGTTGTACCAAAATCCCTTAATATCTTTTGGTTTGCACGAAATTTGGCACAGCGTAATGAATCAGGTCTAGAATGATGTGTGTTAAATTTACTGAAAATCGGTTCAGATTTAGATAAAGCTCCTATATATATCTTCGCCCGATTTAAAGTAAATGGTGCACCAAATTCCCTTAAAATCTTTCGATCAGCATGAAATTTGGCACAGCGTAATGAGTTAGGTCTAAAATGATGTGTGTTAAGTTTCGTGAAAATCGGTCCAGATTTAGATATAGCTCCGATTTCGTCCGATTTAAAATAAATGTTGTACCAAAGTCCCTTAATATCTTTCGGTTTGCACGAAATTTGGCACAGCGTAATGAATCAGGTCTAGAATGATGTGTGTTAAGTTTCCTGTAAATCGGCTCAGATTTATATATAGCTCCCATATATATTTTCGTCCGATTTAATGTAAATGGCCCACCAAAGTCCCTATATATCTTCCGATTTGCACGAAATTTGGCACAGAGTAATGAATTAGGTCTAGAATGATGTGTGTTAAGTTTCGTGAAAATCGGTTCAAATTTAGATATAGGTCCCATATATATTTTCGTCCGATTTAATGTAAATGGAGCACCAAAGTCCCTATATATCTTTCGATTTGCACTAAATTTGGCATAGCGTACTGAATTAAGTCTAGAATGATGTGTGCAAAATTTCGTGTAAATCGGTTCAGATTTAGATATAGCTCCCATATATATCTTCGTCCGATTTAAGGTAAATGTTGTGCAAAAGTCCCTTAATATCTTTCGGTTTGCACGAAATTTGTCACAGCGTAATGGATTGCAGAATGACATGTTTATGGATCCAATTTCATTTTACTGGTTCTTTAAAAATGCGATAGGATTCATCTGTTGAATATACCCAAAGTGGTGAAGGTAGCATAAAGTCGGCTCCGTCCGACTTTACTACTTTCCTTACTGGTTTTCGAGTGGATCTATAGGACACAATTGAAAGCCGAACATCACAACACAACCCACGGTGAAGGGAATCTGGACTAGTAATTAGAAGGGCTGTACTGAATATTAGTAATATTCGGAAAATATGTCAGTGTAAGGAAGAGGTGCTGTTGACCTCTAATCAGGCTTGAGGGTGCAACTATCAAGATATATTGCCCAGGTTCGGAATAAAAATCCGCATAAAGTTAGTGTTCCGTGGTAGTTGTGTAGGATATCGTATGGTCGCCGCGTCCGACTATGCTGCTCCGCTCACTGGTTTAAAAATATTTATTCAAGGCTAACCTATGGCGTGGATTTTTTAACAGTATTTTTTCCAAGCTAAACAAAGGCGTGGATATAAAAAAAATATTTTTTTTTAATAAAATTTTTTCCCAAAAAAATAGTAAGGTATTTGTTTCTAAGGACATTGATTCCCTACCTTGTGGTAATTTAACATTCGCCAATGAAGCTATTGATGATGATGATGTGGATAGCCCCGATGAGGATGATTGTGAATGATTGAGGTTTCCAATAAAATGCTCAGCAGCCAATGATGAGGCAACTGCTGATGATGACGATGATGATGCGGAGGCGGATGCTGCTGCTGTGGCAGCTGAATTTGTTCCAATAATTCGATTACTTCCGGTTCCACTAACGTTTGTGGTGTTGTTGTTGCTGCCAGAACTACTGCCGCAAATGCTGCTACTATTGCTGGCGATGGAAGAGGTCGAAGAACAGCCGGATGACGATGAGTTCGATTGTGTAAAGCTGTGGAGATTGTTGCTGCTGCTGTTGTTGTTGTTGTTAGTGGCGTATAGCGCACCTCCACCATTGCCAAATTGTGGAAAACTTCCCAGCGAAGATGCGGAAGAAATTCCCGATCCAGACGTTGAAGTTGTCGTAGGACCCGTATGCAATGAAGTTGTGGCAATTAAATTATTGGTATTCCTCGAGGAGCCCAATTGAGAATTCGCGTAGAATTTATGGCAATCGTTGAGACCTACCACCGAAGAGCTACCAATACCATTAGTACCGCCACTAATGTTCTGAGTATTGCTGGCAACATTCAATGTGGGCGATCCAATGAGATAGGATTCGGTTTCGATTTCGGATTCCACAGAACCCGCTTCACTAAACCCCCCTTGCGTTGAGGAATCTTCAGGGGTGTCGAAAAAATGCAAATTGAAATCGGTGTGGGCATCAAACCGCACCTCCGGCAATACCTCGTCGTCGTCCTCTTCCTCCTCCTCCTCTGCTTCCTGATCGACGCTATGCAAATTGTCGTTGGCACCGGCGGTCGAGCCGGTTGTTCCACACAAATTATTCTGTAGAGAGTTGTTGTTGTTGTGCTGTTTTGTTGCCTCCACCAGACTGGAACCGATTTGTGCCTGATCCAAATCTAATTTGAATACATCCATGGTTCGAACAACTCCAGAGCCATCGTCTTTGGTGCAGACATTTTTGTGAGTTTTTGTTAATAACTGATCTTTTGTTGGAGATTCGAAGTTTGGGGTATTTTTTATCGAATATTAAATTGGCTTGGAGTTGATATATTGTTCGGATATAGTTTTGAGTTTTTTTTTTTTTTTTCTTTCGAAGGTCTCGAAGGGTATGTTTTTTATTTTCGATTTTCTTTGTGACACTATTTTGACGATGGCAAAATTAATCTATGCGCATGGACTATCAAAGAAAAAAATAGCTTTGGGATCTGTTATAATTTTTATGGGAGGAGGAGGAGGGGGTTTGGGGCACGTCAGGCATAATATGGGGATTATGGTTTTAATACAAAATTAAATTTACAATATTTACAATTTATTTTGGAATGAATGATCGTCGAAGGAGCACAGAACGACAACCTTCATTAATTTCTATACAATCAAGATCTTTGGGTCAGTAGAAGAACATAGGGACCACAGGTCCCCAATAATCTTCTAAGAAAAGAATATTTTTAAAGAACCTATATAAGGCGTGGATTTTTTAAAGAATATTTTTTCAAGGTCCCTCCAAGGCGTGGTTTTTTTAAAGAATATTTTTTCAAGGTCCCTCCAAGGCGTGGTTTTTTTAAAGAATATTTTTTCAAGGTCCCTCCAAGGCGTGGTTTTTTTAAAGAATATTTTTTAAGGACCTATATGAGGCGTGGTTTTTTTAAAGAATATTTTTTAAGGACCTATATGAGGCGTGGTTTTTTTAAAGAATATTTTTTAAGGACCTATATGAGGCGTGGATTTTTTAAAGAAGAATTTTTTTAAGGACCTATATGAGGCGTGGATTTTTTAAAGAAGAATTTTTCTAAGGACCTATATGAGGCGTGGATTTTTTAAAGACTATTTTTTGCGTCTTAATGAGGCCTGGATTTTTTAAAGATGCATTTTTGTAAGGACCTATATGAGGCGTGGATTTTTTAAAGAAGAATTTTTGTAAGGTTTTGTAAGAACTGAAGGTCTGCGAATTAGTTTCCATTTGGAAAAGGTAGAGCTGAGGGTTTACGAGAGTCTATAGAAAGGAAGTAGACCGGAGCGTAGGCATGAAATTCTACGGTTTTTTCTATAGAAAAATGTAGGCATGAAATTCTACGATTTTTTCTATAGAAAAAATTAGACCCGAGGGTCTACGCATTTTTTCTATAGACAGAATGCACCCTGAGGCTCTACGAATTTGCTTCTATAAAGAAAAAAGGTCTGAGGGTCTACGAATTTTTTTTCTATAAAAAAAGTAAGCCTGAGGGTCTACAAATTTTTTCCTATAAAAAAAATGGACTTGAGGGTCAATAATTTTTTTTTATAGAAAATAATTTAGACCTGAGGGTCTTTGAATTTTTTCCACAGAAAAAATGTAGACCTGAGGCTCTACGAATTTGCTTCTATAAAAAAAGGCCTGAGGGTCTAAAAATTTTCTTCTATAAAAAAGTAAACCTGAGGGTCTACGATTTTTTTCTTATATAAAAAAATTTAGACCTGAGGGTCTAAGAATTTTCTCTTATAGAAAAAAATGTAGAACTGAGGGTCTACGAATTTTTTCCTATAGAAAAAAATGTAGAACTGAGGGTCAACGAATTTTTTCCTATAGAAAAAAATGTAGAACTGGGGTCTACGAATTTTTTCCTATAGAAAAAATAGACCTGAGGGTCTACGAATTTTTTTCTATGGAAAAAATCTAGACGATTTTTTATAGGGTCTACGAATTATTTTCTACCTTTCTATAGAAGAAAAGGTAGAATTTTTTCTATATTATTCTACAGAAAAATAGGTTGGCCGGATGGTCTACTAACTTTTTCTATAGAAAAAAGGGTAGACCTGAGGGTCTACGAATTTTTTCTATAGAAAAAAAGGTAGACCAGAGGGTCTACGATTTTTTTCTATAGAAAAAAGGTAGACCAGAGGGTCTACGATTTTTTCTATAGAAAAAAGGTAGACCAGAGGGTCTACGATTTTTTCTATAGAAAAAAGGTAGACCAGAGGGTCTACGAATTTTTTCTATAGAAAAAAGGTTGACCTGAGGGTCTACGAATTTTTTTCTATATGAAAAAAATTTAGACCTGAGGGTCTACCAATTTTTTTTTTATATGAAAAAAATTTAGACCTGAGGGTCTACGAATTTTTTTCTATAGGAAAAAAATGTAGACCTGAGATCTATAAATGTTTTCCTATAGAAAAAAATGTAAACCTGAGGTCTATGAATTTTTAGACCTGAGGGTTTTTGAATTTTTTCTACAGAAAAAATGTCGACCTGAGGGTCTACGAATTTTTTTCTAAAGGAAAAAATTTAGGCCTAAGGGTCTTTTTTCTACAGAAAAAAATGTAGACCTGATGGTCTATAGAAAAAATGTAGACCTGAGGGTCTACGAATTTTTTCCTATAGAAAAAAATTTAGACCTGAGGGTCTACGAATTTTTTCTTATAGAAAAATATGTAGACCTGAGGGTCTACGAATTTGTTTCTATAGAAAAACAGTAGTCCTGTGAGTGAACAAAATTTTTCCTATAAAAAAAATAGACCTGAGGGTCTACAAATTTTTTCCTACAGAAAAAAAATAGACCTGAGGGTCTACGAATTTTTTTCTATAGAAAAAATGTGGACCTGAGTGTCTACGATATCTTATTGTCGATCTTTATGATTGTCGTTTTGTGCTTTAATCCTTTTTTTGTTTTTGGTATTTTATATATGCAGGACAGCTTGGATTGGTTTGAGGATATGTGTTTATTTTTTGGTTGGATAAAATATTTGTATGCTTTACAAAACGAAAGAAATGTGTAAGGATACACCTCGTTTAAAATTATGGACCATATAGGACTAAATAAAATGCACTTCCGTAATTTAAAATTTTCTTTTTTGTTTTTGTTTATTTCGTATTCATTGTGATTTTTGTTCGGTTTAGATTTAAAATCGGTGCAAAAATGTATTCTGGGAAATATTCGAGACACCACCACCACCACAGATCACATTTTGCCGTAGACACCACACATGTATGGAAGTTTGAGACAACACCCGGAGGAGACGGAAGCAGTTGGATGGTTATGATGCGGTTGTTATGAGGGGGTGGGTGGGTTGTTTTTGGTTGATTTTGTGGGTGTGTTTGCTGACGTTGACGATGAGGTTGATGATGATGATGCTGGTGTTGTTGTTGCTGCTAATAAAATCCTTTATTTATTTATTTATTTATTCATTTTTTTCTTTTTTTTAATCTTTGAATTAGTTTTCACAACGCCGTTTTAATTTCCATTTTCGTTTTTGAACTAAAAAAGCCACAATTATTTTGAAATCAAACACAACCGTTACAAAATTTTTTTTTTATTTTATCATTTAACGTTCAAGGACATTTGATCTACAAAATAAAAAAAATGAATCCTTTTCTCCCGTTAGCGCAAATATTTTTTTTTGTTTTCGACGTTTCCGTTCCGTTTTGGGGGTTGATATCGACAACGCGTAACGACGTAAAAGTGTAACACAACGTAGGCCAACGGTGAGACAGTCCGCCAAACAGCCAGCTAGCAAAGCGCTGCACAAATATCCACGACAAAAAATCCCGACCGTTTGTAAGAACCTTTGAAGCGTGTATAAGAAGAAGAACACAGAAGACCAACTACTCGGCCAAGCGAAACTCCCAACTCCCTGGCAAAAGAATAGAACGATCAGTCAGTCAGGCAGGCAGCCAGCGAAGAACCAGCTAACCATCCATCCAGTATAGCGGCGAACCAGCCAACCGAGAACAACAACTACAACTCTAACATAGATAGAAAAACCAACTGCAACAACAACAACAACAAGGGAATAACTTTGAAGAGAAGCGAATGCATAAACTTCGTGGCGTTGTTGCTGTTGTGGAGGCCTCTATTTTTCTATGGGATGGATGGCTTTTTCTTTCTATTCTGTTGCTGGCGACTGCGCTGCCTTGGCATAGTCTTCCTGATCGGCAACAAGAGCAGCAGTTCGCTCCTCCGCCAATTTTTTGTTTTCAATGTTCTGGTCTAGGCTGTCTGTCTGTCTGGATGGATGATTGTGATTGTTGCAATTGCGTTCAACGACGCCAACACAAACAACAACATCGGCAACGAGGAAGAAGCTCAGCAGCAACTGCTGAAGCGCTACCACCAACCGTTGTTGTGGTCATGGGCATCATATTTGTCTACTTTATCATTCTGGCTGGGCGATAGGAGGTGGTGTGATAAGGAATGTGAATTAAACAATCAAGAACAGTAAACATGTTGATTTTTTTAGGTCCTTAAAAAATATTAAAAAATCACGCCTTCTTAATATTTTTCAAAGACCCACCACTTCCTCAATTTCTGAAAAAAATTTAAAAAAATCCACGCCTATTTGAGCTACTTGAAAAAATATCTTGAAAGCAGTAAGGAAAGTAATCGGACTGGGCCGACTATATGATACCCTACACCACTTTGGATGTATTGTACATATGTATCCTAACAATTGCACCTCCAAGCTCCGTAAGCTAAGATATGTCGAAATCTAAACCGATTTTCCCGACACTCATCATTCTAGACTCAAATAAGTACGGTTTAGCATATCGTGCAAATCGAGAGATATATAGGGACCTTGGTGCACCATTTACATAAAATCGGACGGACATATATTTGGGAGCTATATCGAAATCTGAACCAATTTTCCCGAAACTAATCACTCATCATTCTCGACTCAATTTAGTACGCTATGCCAAATTTCGTGCAAATTTAATGATATATAGGGACATTGGTACTACCATTTACCTTAAATCGGATGAAAATATATATGGGAGCTATATCTAAGTCTGAAGCGATTTTTACGAAACTTAGCACACGTTATCCTAGACTTAATTCAGTACACTATGCCAAATTTCGTGAAAATCGAATTATATATATGGACCGTTTACATTAAATCGGACGAAAATATATATGGGAGCTATATCGAAATCTGAACCGATTTTCCCGAAACTCATCACTCATCATTCACGACTCAATTTAGTACGCTATGACAAATTTCGTGCAGATCGAAG